CGGTCATCCGATCAGCTGATCAGCTGGTCATCCGATCAGCTGGTCATCCGATCAGCTGATCAGCAAGCCAATTTTCAACCGACCCAGGACGACTGTGATTAACCCTTGTGCGTTATGATAAGAAATCAAACAGGGAGGCAGATGAGGTGGGCTATAAAAGTGGTGTTGTTGTTGGTCTCTCCGGTCAAACGTGTGCTTTGAACTGCGGCCCTTTGAATTGCAGGACATATGCAGACCAGTTGCATCGGATTGCCTCCAACGGCTTATCTTGTCATGTCTTGTGTGAATCAGCACTGACAGCGGAAGCGTGGCGACTGCACTAGAGAATCTTTCTTCGAATCCACTTCCACGAACTGAGATCAAGGCCTCCAATAGAGTTGGAAAATACTCTCCATGCTCGGCCTCGTCTGCATACCTCGTGAACAGACAGACACAATAAGAGTTCCAATGCTCCCTGCAACGAAAGCCAATAACGTGACAAATGCATCCGAATGATGTCGACATTATTCCCCCCCTTACTCAGAATGACGATTGGCAGTGTCAGTTTCCATACACACCTAAGCCTTGACTACGCTGCACTAAGAAAGAATAATGTCGTAATCAGACTAATTCTAAGGTTATTTTGTCCAACGAACGTTGGTTCAATCGAGGATATGAAGACCAAGATGGTGTGACCCTCGGTATGGTCGCAGTCCCTTTTCCATGTGCACAAGAGAGTTGACCTCGTTTTCGCAACTTGGTCTTGTTGTCAGGGCGACGTAGTTGGACTCACCTTGTCCGAAGTCCTCTGCCATACTAGTTATCATAATTATCAGCGTCAGTCAGTGGACTTTGTACATTCTCGAACGTCTCGCCGGCATCTTAGTCGGCAATTATGATATTTACTATGGCAGAGAACTTCGGACAAAGCGCGTCCAATTACGTCGCCTTGACAACGAGACCGAGTTGCAAAAGCGAGGTCAACCCACTTCTAAAGGCTGGTTTACCGAGACTTCTGGTACTGACGCACATTCGGTGGTATGCTAGGATAATATGCTATCCTTCTCTATTGTACAATTGCTTACATCTCATGCACTCCCCTAGTGCTATGGTGCATGTGGAGGCTCGAGGTCCATTTGCACTCGGAGTTCTCCATCGAAATTGCTCCGCCGATTCGCCCAGCCTACAGTCGGACAGACCCACTGGTCGAACAGGACACGATGTGCATAGGTGCACGTGGGCCCAGAAGTACTGAAAGAATGCTAGATCCACAATTCTGGAAATGCCGGTATTGAGATGCCAGTTGTCTGGTCAGGCCGGAGTAAAACTGTATCATATTTGGTCCATCTCTCTGCATCCTCTGGATGTAGTGCCTTGGGCCAAACAATCAACTCTTTAGTTAAGCAATCGCATCAATTTAATGCTCCATTTCCTTTCCATTCTCATAGAAATGCAGAGCGATTCTGCAAACAAAAGAGTCGAATTAAAGGCTCTCTGCTGCACTGGTCTTTAATGCGCCACAGATTCCAAAAAGCCGTCTTCCTCCAAGACCTCGCTGACGTCGCATTCGCATCATTTGCGAGGCAATGAAGCACACACGTTGTTCACCGTTTCGAGTAGCAATAAAGGCATAATTTTTATGGCGAGGCAAGCCGCGCTCAACTCCTAATTTTGGTCGGAACTTTTGTGTTGATAGGGGCGACCCAGCGCCTAACATTAAGCTGGAAACTTTGCTAAAGTCTTGGTTGTAACTATGACGGCTGAAATAGATTGGCTGCCAAGGTCTTCCATTTGATCAGAAATCAAGTGCGTGCAGACATTATGTAGTTTTTCTAATCATACGTAACAAATACTGCATATAGGCATCGTCGGACCTTTCATCTACTATGAAAATGTGGACGAAAGTGATGCTCGAGTCAAATGCTCTGCTTAAAGGCAACACATGTCCAGTTGCAAGACACTATCTGCCCTCAGTTTGTAGGTTCTCTTCCATTCCCCCTTTCCTACTGAACGCAATATCCAAAAAGAATAGTTTTTTATTTTCTCACAAAACAGATGACGAAGACTTGTTTATGAAAAACGAAATGCAAATGTAAAGACTTAAAATACGACCCATCATTGCTCGAGTGCCTGGGTCAACTTGCACTTGGACAGGAGTGTGCACTGTGTCCGGTAGTGATGGAGAAAACGCCGTCGTAATTTACGCTGTCGGTAATACTCAAATCAAGGCACGCTGCACCCTTTCATTGTGTGATGAAAGAGAGGATGCACCAACATAACAAATCGTAAAGGAAAACAGAAATAAGTAGGACAAATATCCCCGGCAGTTTCTTCACAATTCGTTCATGGTATATGCCCAAGACAGCGTAAGACTGCTGCTACTGTACCATGCATGTGCCAGGTGAGCCTTATTACTATGGTGACATTCGAGTCGAGTAAAAGTGCCTGCTAAGGGGATTCCTATGTCGCACACACCCAAAGAGGACGGCTGATTTCTAGTCTTTTGCTAAAGTGGCGATCAGGTTAGCGTAGTCACCGAGACATCTGTCAAGTGACAGAAATCGTAGAAACTTAATTGCATTCTTACACAAATCTTTAAACTAACACAAAATCAAAAATATTATATTTATATATATATTTAAACCGATTTAGTTATATTATTTTTGTCAGGGTAAGTATTTTTATGCCCACATGTAAATTAGGGTACGAAATCGTCAAGCAAAAGTAAGTACAATGGAGCCTAGCTCCAGTTCAGAATCATCGAGGTTAAATGAGGCAAGTAAAGACATGGTTACGATTACGTAATCACGAAAGTGTCCGGCTGGGTTGGTGCCCAAATTGGGGTAAAAGGGGCATATTGAGTACACAAAAGTCCGCTATTATCAGAAGTCCGTCACTCCACTTATGACATGAACCAAAAGCAGTCACTCGGGCTATGTAATGCGGAACCTCGGTAATTCACGGACCCGTCAAGAACGTGAATCCTACAAAGTTGGGATTAGGTTCTGTCGGCCTTCAGAGTCATGATAACGCCAGTTGGACACATTTTTAGGAGTGGCACACTTGACCCAGGATACGATTAGACGAAATTAAATACTAAAAGTGGGTCGACCTTGTTGTCGCAACTTGGTCTTGTTTTCAGGGAGACCATGTAGAACGCACCGAGTCCGAAGTCGTCTGCCATTGTAGTTGTCATGACTCCCAGCG